TATGTGCTGCGGAGATGGGAAGATAAAGAGTAGGGGTTAAAGGAGAGGTAAACGATGATAATATAAACAGCAAAAGATAAAGAAACGAAAATATAAACAAAATAAATAAGAGATTATATAAAGAATATAAAGAAACGCTTATATAAACAAAATACAGAAGAAAAGCTAAAGAGGAGATATGTAAGACAAATATAAAAAAGATAAAGAAGAAAAAACAAAGAGAAGAAGATAGAGAATATGATATGAAGAGAAGAAGATAAAGAACAATATATAAAAATATATATTATAATGATATTATAATATATATTTTTATATATTATAATAAGACAAAGAAAAAAAAATACAAAAACGACAAAGAAGAGAATAGAGAAAAGGAGAAAATTGAGTTAAAAAAGAGAAGGCAGAGAAGAAGTAAAAAAGAGAAGAGAAAGAAGAATCTCTAAAAGAGGAGAAGATAGAGAAGAGAAACAAAAAAAAAAAGAAAAAAAAAAAAGAAAAACGTATTGATACATATTCTTACAGCTTTGCGAGTACATAACCAACGATCTTGCCCTGGCTATCTTCTGCTACAGTTGGAAGCTGAGGCCAAGAAAGAGAATGAAAGAAATAATATTTCATAACATAATTTTCAGGTAAATTCACAAAATTTACATGTTGCATAGCGAAGAGGTCGAAAACATCGCTCGGACGGACGAGGCTGCACATCTTGCAAAAAGATGGAAAGCAGATGGAAAGCTGCGGGAAAGCTGAGTAAAACAGATGAATATCGATGAAAATATATTATTTAAATAAAAATAAACCAATATTCTTCATATATTCGCTTTTTTTGCCGCAAAAATAACACAGAAATGATGGATTTCTACGCCAACAAAAACATGAATTTCAGCTTTCAATATTTCAGGTGTATAGGCACCTCACCATACACCTGAAATGACGTTTACAAAAACCCCAATTTCAGAAAAAAAAGAACATTCAATTCAAATTTAAATTATTAATTTAGCTCTTTTATTTTATTTTATTTAATATATTATACACAAACGCCACACAACTCGAACGGGGCCCCTAAGCAGCTACACGGGGCTGCGGGGCTGGTTCTTTGCGTTTACCTTTGAATTGCTTTTACTTATACTTTTTTATGTTTTTATTTTTATATTTTTATTTATTATAATTTGTTTAATTTTATTTGCTATTATTTTTATACACTTTAAGGTATTGGTGTTGCTATATTTTTATTCTTTATTATTTTCATGTTGTCGTTTGTTTTTACGTCTCGTATGAGTGTTGTATACCTTTATGTACTATTTCTTCTCCCTTTTTATTTATTAGTTTATATATTGTTGTTTATTATTTAATTTTTCTTCATACTTTTGTTTATTAGTATTTTTATAATCTATATTTTTATTTATTATTGCTGTAGCTCACCCCACCTGCTGCAACACTAGTATCTCTATGGCCTCAGTTTATACTAGTGCTTTATACAGAAAAGATGTAATTAAAACATAAATAAAATTATATTTATAATTATATGAGTTTTAGTTGATGGATAAAATAAACTAATGAAATAACATTTGCTGTCGTTTGTTTCTTCTGTCTCTGTCTTTGTGCTGTTTCTTATTTCTGTCTCTTTAGCGTTCTTTCTTCTCCTTCTCTTCTTCTGTCGTTGTTTTCTCTTTCTGCCTCTTCCTTGGTTTGCTCTCTATGATAAAACCTCAAACCCTAAACCCTAAACCCTAAACCCTAAACACACGAAGCAGTGCAGCAACAGAAGGGCGTGTAGATGCTGGTGATAAGGAGAGGAGACAAAAATAAAAGAGAGAAAATAAATATTCTTCTTTATAGGGGATGCAGCAGCAGCAGCACTAGTTGCTGCAGTTTCTGCTGCTGCTGCGCATTGCAGCAGCAGCCCCGCATGCATGCATGAGAACTTGCTTTTTCGCTTCTAGGGTTTAGGGTTTAGGGTTTAGGGTTTAGGGTTTAGGGTTTAGGGTTTGACCGGCGCCAGAGACAGAAGGAGAGAACCGAGAGAAGCCCCATTAGCCGCATGCATAGCCTCTGTTATTTTTTCTTATAAACTTCTTCTTTCTGCTGCATGCACAAAAAAAAAACACAAAACAACAACAAACAGCAGAAGAAATATTAAACTGCAGCAGACAAAGAAGCAGGGGCTATAGAAGGAGATATATATGAGCTGTCTGTACACCCCAACACATATCTGAGCGGGGCTGCATGCACTCATTCTGCTTTTTTACAACAGCAGCAGCAGCAGCAGCAGCAGCAGGAAGTAGCAGCAGCAAACTGTAGCAGCAGCAGCAGCAGCAGCTGTAGCAGCAGGCAGTAGCAGCAGCAGCAGCAAGTGAGCTCTTTGTTTTTTGTTTACATTCAAAAGCCCCAAAAGAAAGAGAAAATGCATGCAACGCCTGGGGGAGACAAAGAAGAGACAAAGGCTGCAGCTGCTGCTGCTGTTGTCTCTAGTGCTGGGTGCAGCAACATTATGTATATATAAATATATTTTAAAATATACAAATATATACATAAGTATATACTTATATATATTTTTTTATATATATTTATATATACATAATGTTAGATAGATAGATACATATATATATATATATATATATATATATA